GTCCAGCGCCTCGGGCTGGGGCGCAGGTGTGGGAGGGCTGGGCCTGCGGTCCTGAGAGGGTGGCAGTGGCCGGAGATGCCGCCCTGGGCAGGGCAGCTTGGCCTGGCCAGTCCTGGGCAGGGCCAGTGGCCCCCAGGCGGCTCCTGCACTGCCGGTCTCCCTTCTCAGACCAGTGGTATCCACCCCCAGGTTTGAGCCCGGGAAGAAATCTGGGTCCCCCAGGGTGAGGGGGATCCCAGTGAGTCTGTTTCTCTCCTTCCTCAGTGGAGGGAGTGAGCAGGTTTTGTTCCCATCCCGCTGGACAGCCCAGGATGTGGCTGCCCCCAGAGTGAAGTCCTCGCTCCCACTCCGGGGCAGGGGGCTCCAGGGCCTGGCAGGCGCAGGCATGCCTGTGCTATCCGAGGACTCGGGTGAGTGCCTGGCCTGCCGGGAGGCTGGGTCGGGGGCAGGAGCCCTGCCTGTGTCCTGAATTCTGTGCCCACTGCAGGCCTGCACGAAACCCTGGCACTGCTCACCTCCCAGCTGAGCCCAGACTCGAGCCGTGGGGAGGAGGCGGGCTTCCTGCGGGACGTGTTCAGCGAGCGCAGCCTCAGCTACCTGATGAAGGTGCCCTGGAGGGGCCGCTGTGGCCTTGGCGCTCTGGGCCATGAATGGCCCATGGGGTCCCCGGGCCACGGTGGGTGCGGGCATCCAGGTCAGCGGAACCGGTGTCTCTGCAGATTCACGAGAAGCTGCGCTGTTATGAGCGGCAGAGCCCCAGCCCGGTCCTGCACAGTGCCGTGGCCCTGGCTGAGGACGTGAGTCCCGGGGGTTTCCCTGGTGGCAGTGTCAGCTGGCTGCCGGCGGGTGCTGCTTCTTCCTTCCCCCTTGGCGGCATCACTTTGAGGGTGGTCGGAATGGGCGTCTCAGGAAGTTGAGCCCCCCCCTTGCTGGCCTTCTGATCGCCTGGGAGGGCCTCAGGCCTGGCGGGGGGGACCTGGGGACAAGTGACACTCCTTGCAGTGCCTCGCCATGCTGCTGTGTCCTCAGCTGTACAGAGGCACAGCAACGGCACAGACCCCGGGGCCAGGTGGGTCAGTTCAGGTCCTGGCCCTGGAGCTCAGTGGGGACTCAGCTGTACTCCGTGTGCCCTGCATTCCGCACCCCTGCAGGGGTTCGCTGTGGGGTTGGGGCTCCTGCCATGACTCTGGGATGGCTGAGGGTCCGATTTGCCCCCTGCAGGTAGCAGAGGAGCTGCAGGCGGCCTCCGCGCGTGGCGACGAGAGGGAGCTGCTGCAGCTGCTGGCCACACCCCACCTCAGGGTAGGTGCCTGTGTCCGGGGGACTGGGGTCCGCACTACTGTGCCCCGGCCCCACACTGCTGTGCCCACACTGACTCCCTCCAGGCCGTGCTTCTGGTGCACGACACGGTGGCCCAGAAGAACTTCGACCCTGTGTTGCCCCCTCTTCCCGATGGCGTTGCCGAGGACTTCGAGGAGGAGTCGGTGAAGATCGTGCGGCTGGTGAAGAACAAGGAGCCCCTGGTACGTGCCGCCCACTCCCCTCTGCAGGGTGCCGCTTTCCCTGGGCTCCGAGCTCTGCTGTGCTCCCAGCCGCGTCCCTTCCCCGAGTGCTGTGGGGCCGCAGCAGAAGGCCCGGGAGGGCTGCTGGTGCGGCGGGGGGCAACGGAGTGTGCATTGTCCTCACTTGTGAACGGCTGTGGGCACCTGGCCAGGCCACCCTGGCCCTCGGCCTGGAGGACACTGGGCTCTGTCCCTCCTCTGAGACCTCAGGTCCCTGCGCTGAGTCCCAGCGGGAGGTGCTGTTTTCCTCCAGATTCACTGGGTGGCTGGGAGGCTGGGGTCAAGGGCCCGGCTGCCTGCCCAGCTCCCCCGTCTGTGGCACAGGGAGCCACCATCCGGCGGGATGAGCACACAGGCGCTGTCGTGGTGGCCAGGATAATGCGTGGGGGTGCAGCCGACCGCAGCGGTGAGTCGGCCCTTGAGCTCCGTCTCTTTCCCTGGCTCAAGGCAGTCACCATGGAAAGCCTGACAGCCAGCTCACGAAGAACCCCGGGGTGGAGGGCAGGTGGTCAGTGGTATGGGGTGGGACTGCTGAGTGGGTGCTTTTGAGCAGCGTCCAGGACCTGAGCCAACCAGTTGCTGGTGAGTGCCTGGGGACATCTGGTTCCAGCTGATTCAGGAGCTGCCTCTCCTAGCCCTTCCGGCTCTGCTGTGGCCCAGTGCCCACCAGGAGCCCCAGGGTCTGGATTTGCAGGATGCTCCGCAGGAATGCAAACTCTAGTCCCAGTACCCAGGAGGCTGAGGCAGGAGGATCACTGAGCCCAGTTTTGAGGGTGACTTGGGTAGCATAGGACCCTGTCTCCAAGAAGAAAAGAGTTGATAGATGGCCATGTCCAGTGCTCTGGGCATTGTCACTGGAAGCCCGAGGACAGCTGCTCCAGGAGTGGGTCTGTACTTGGGAAGGGGAGGAGTCGAGACTCTTTTTCTTTTTCTTTGCAGTCCTAGGGTCTGAACCTAGGGCCTTCACGCACAGCCCCATCCCCGGCCGTTTTTATTTTGAGACAGGGCCTTGCAAAGTTGCTTAAGTGGGACTCAGAGCTGCGATTCTCTTGCCTCAGCCTTTCGGTAAAGGTCACTGGCATGTACCACTGTGCCCCACTGGTCAGTCACTTCTAAGGAGGAGAGGCAGGCAGGAGAATCCAGCTCTCTACCCCTCGCCTGCATCACAGAGTCGGTGGCTTTGTCCCCGGGTTCAGCTAGGCCTATGCCGGGCCACGCTGGGCAGGAAGGAGCCCGTGACAGTCCCTCCGGCTGTGTGGGGCTCCACCGGCTCCTGTGCTGATGCCGCCCATGTCCCCAGGCCTAGTCCACGTGGGGGACGAGCTGCGCGAAGTGAATGGTGTCGCTGTCCTTCACAAGCGACCAGAAGAGATCAGCCAGATCCTGGTGCGCTAGGCCGCTGCTGGCGGTGGGGCTGGTGGGGGCTCCTGGTCTCGCCCCACGGCCCGGGCCAGGTGCCAGGTGGTGGGTGACAGGCCCTTCTCTCTGCCAGGCTCAGGCCCAGGGCTCCATCACCCTCAAGATCATCCCGGCCACCCAGGAGGGGGACCCCTTCAAGGAGAGCAAGGTGGGGCCAGACCCACATCCACGCCGCGGTGTGAGCTGGGCTTGGGGCACCTGCTCCGGGAGGATGGAGCCGTGGGGGCGGGAAGCTGCTCTTGGTGACCACCTCTTGGTGGCAGATGCTGGAGCAGGATGGTCAGTGGCTCCCTGGGCGGAGGCAGAGGCAGAGAAGGCGATGGACCAGGGTGCCTGGGTATTGGTGGGGAGGGAAGTGAGCTTAGCCCGGCCCTGCCTCTGGTTAGGGGAAGGGAGGGACAGATAGCACCGGGCGGAACAGAGGTCTGCAGAGTCTGACCACCGAGCATGAGTAACGGGCGCAGTCTCAGCTGACAGTGTTTCACAGCAGGGGAAGAAGAGAAGAGGCTTGTTTTGCAGTACTAGGATCAAATGCAGGGCCTTGTGCATGCTGGGCAAGCACTCTACCACCGAGCCTCTTTTTTATTTCTATTTATTTTCGAAACAGAGTTGTTCTAAATTGCCCAGGCTGGACTGGAACTTGGGATCCTCCTGCCTCAGCCTCCTGAGTAGCTAGGAATTACTGGTGTGTACCACCATGCCCAGCAGAAATAATCTCTTGTGGCTGTGTGGCTGTTTCTTTTTCTCTTTTTCCTCTCCTTTTATTTTTTGGGGTTCTGGGAATCAGACTCCAAGGCCGTTGTACCTCTGAGCTTTGCCCCAGCTCCTCACAAAGTTGTCCAGGCTGGCCTCAGACTTACTGCCCTCCCACCTCAGCCTCCTCTGTGCCCTGCTCAGCATGACTGCTTCATACTTGTGCAGCACTGACTTTTGCTGAATGGAAGGTGACCTCCTACGACAAGCAGCTGGGATCCCCATGTTCGAGGACTCTGGCTTGGTGTCCCTGGAGGACTCGCAGGCAGCCTATCCCTGGCCTCCCTGCTGGGTGTGCCTTCCTGGCCCAGGTGGTCTCGCAGCCGTTGGGGTCAGAGTCCCCACATCCCCAGGGCTGTGACGGCTGTGGCAGTGAGGGCTTGTCCCCCAACACACACAGGCAGCAGGATGCCCCTCCCTCTCCATCTGACATGGGAAGGACTTGCTCTGTCTCAGGCAAAGCGGGGCCAAAGTGCTGCTCTGTTTGCCCCCAAGATCCTGGGGCCCTGATGGTCTGGAACTGCAGATGCGCACAATAAATCCAGGCTGCTGAGTCACAGAGACCGGGTGGGCAGGCAGGGTTGTGCCCACACAGTGCCTGGGAGGCAGATTGGGTGTAGGAGATGGGTGCTGACCCCACTGCTCTGGGAGGAGCCGGAAGCGGGGTTCCTGGACCCGTGTTCTCAGCGTGGTGCCGCCAGCTACCTCAGTAACAGACGCTGCTATCGGCAGTGGGGCCAGCATCTGAGCTACAGGTCAGCTTGCGTCTGTCTGCCTTGGCCCCAGGCCTGGCTGCTGCTCCCCGCAAGCAGGTGGGCGGAAGGAAGGGTCCGGGTTGGAGGAGAAAGGCAGCCACAGGATTTCCCGCTGGGTGTCCCAGGTGACAAGAGCACACCTGTGATCCCAACACTGCGGAGGCTGAGGCAGGAGAACCTGTCTCAATAAGAAGGGCTGGGATGGAGCTTGGTGAGACGGCCCTGGGTTCAGTCCTCAGTACTGCACAAAGGAAGCTATGAAGGAGGGGAACAAAGGAGCCCCAGGAGCTGCAGGCCAGCGCCGCTCAGCGCCTGTGCCCTGCAGCAGGACGCACAGCTCACTGAGGCCTCCTGCAGGTGTTCATGCGGGCGCTGTTCCACTACGACCCCCGCGAGGACCGCGCCATCCCCTGCCAGGAGGCAGGGCTGCCATTCCGGCGACGGCAGGTCCTGGAGGTGGTGAGCCAGGACGACCCCACCTGGTGGCAGGCCAAGCGCGTGGGCGACACCAACCTGCGGGCCGGCCTCATCCCCTCCAAGCAGTTCCAGGAGAGGTGGGTGGGCGCCGCGCTGAGGAGGTCTTGCTGCTGCCCACACGGCTCTGCCCACTTCCTGCCCTGTTTATGTGAACGCTGCACGCAGAAACAGGGTCTTTTTTTTTTCTTTTCTTTCTTTTTTTGGTACCAGGGATCGAACTCAGGACCTTGCACTTGGAGGCAGGTGGTGGAACCACTGAGCTAAATCCCCAGCCTTTTTCTTCTTTTTAGATATTGTAGTACTGGGTATTGAAGCCAGACCTTTATGCTGGGCTACATCTTCAGCCCTTTTTTATTTCGTATTTTGCGTCAGGGTCTTGCTGCGTCACTGACTTGGCCTAGCTGGCCTCAGCTTGGGATTCTCCTGGTTCAGCTGAGATTGCAGGCGTGCCCCCCGCCAGCATTTCTTTTGCTGTTTTGCTGTGCATTTTGACACATCCCACCCCATCACATGTTCTCTGTGGTGTGATGCATGTGCCGAACCGTGTCTCGCTGGGAGTCTCGCTTCCCAGCATAGACAGCATGTTTATCACAGGCTGGGTGGCCTTGTGCTGGGCACTGTGGGCCATGGTGAACCCACGGCTTCTGCTTGGGGAGCTTAGGGTGGTGGTGACGTGGCAGTCCTCAAACGCTTGTCACCTGGGTGTCCAGTGAGAGGGAGGAGGTGCCCGGGGTGGGCGGTGTCCCCTGAGGGCCCTGTGGAGGGGCGCCCTGCAGTCTTCCCGTGTGAGGGGAGGCAGTCTCCTTGGACTCGGTTCTGGGGGGATTGGGCTGAGGCTGGGGTAGCCGTGCTGGCGCCCTCCTCACGTCCCAGGGTGTGGTGTGGCGGTGCCTGCAATGGCCGCCTGGCGCAGTCCCCGGGCCCTGGGGATGTGCTGGAAGTCCTCAAGGGCTCCCCAGACCTGCAGCACCTGGAGTCTTAGGTCCCCCAACTGCTCCAGGGGTGCCAAGGTGCAGGGGTCGCACCCTGCTCTGGTCTTAGCTGACCCGGGATGTGGGGGTCCCAGGCAGCCTGAGCCGGGGCGTCCTTTAGCCCCTCCCGTGGCCTCGGCAGATGAGGGCTCTCCACCAGGGACGGGGTGCCGTGCTGGGTCCCCCTTGCTCCCTGGCCTCCAGGGTTCTGGAGTCAGTCTGCTGCTTCCCAGCCTCCTGGAGATGGAAGCTGTGGGAGGCCAAGCCTGCGCCCAGCAGGGCCCCAGGCCTTACTTTCCCTGAGTTTCCGGAAGCCACCTTCAGCAGTTTCTTGGTCCCAGCCCCTTCCCCTGTGTCCCACAGACGACTGAGCCACCGGAGAGCTGCGGGCACCCTGCCAAGCCCCCCAAGCCTCAGGAAGCCGCCCTGTGAGTAGTGGGGCAGGGACGGCAGGGGTCCCACTCCTCCAGGCTGGTGGGGCCTTGGGGGCACAGAAGGGAAATGGGTGCAGCTTCAGCACCGTCCCCAGACGGGTGGCACTGAGGTGTTACACGCTCCCCGAATGGTGTGCAGATCTCTGGCTCCGAGCTGTCCTGTATCAGGGCAACAGGGTCACCAGCCTGGGGGACGCAGTGATGGGCATGGAGCCAGACTGGGCGTCCTGGCAGGCGGTGGGTGGGGGTCAGCGCCTGTGCCTGCGTGGAGCAGACAGGAGCTCGCATCTGATGGCGCGTCCTATGTGCCCGCTGACCATCTGATCTGCAGGAATCACCCTGACCTGCCTGTTCTCTTCACCCGTTCTTCGCTTTTTCATGGCGCCAGGGAGCACTTGCTAGTCTGGGGTGCTCCGTGGAGCCCCACATTTGATAATCACAGAAGCCCTGTGAAGTAGACAGTCAGGTGCCTCTCCCCATATGGGGAGCTGGAGGCTCCTAAGCTTAGGTGAGCAGAGCTGGGGTTTCACATTACCCCACACAGACAGGAGGCTGCCAGGGCCCAGGGTGCAGGTGACCAGAGCCCTCGGGCACCTGCATTTCCCAGCAGGACTGGAGCCCCAGGAGGGAGCAGGGAGCCTGGGAGACACAGGCAGTGCAGGCTGGGGTTAGTAGCATTTGGCCCCAGCCGGCGTGGTGGAGAGCCGGCCTCGGAGCCCCTTGGGCCCCTCTAACGCTGTCCCCTCTCTCTTGTGCAAACCGCAGACGATCAGCCTTGTGACTCAGGTAGGCCTGGTGGTGTACCCGCACTCACAGGCAGGCGCCTTTTCTGGGGACACTTGGGTTGGAGGGGTCGTGTCCGGCAGATGGGGCTGGGCCTCGGGCCTCCCTGCCCTCCTGATGTCCTGGACCGGCCAGGAGGGCGCTGGCTCCTCCCGTCGTCCCACAGGAAGGGGTGCCTGCTGCTCCCAGACCCCCACCAGGCCCCACGTGGAGCACGAGTGCTGCAGGGGACGCAGCGCTGCCCCTGGGCGCCGACCACGTGGTCCCTGGGCCCGGGGTCCAGCCCTCACCACTGCCCATTTGGTCCCCAGAGATGTGCGACTGTGATGGGCACCTGAAAGGCCACTATGTGGGTGAGTAGCCGGCGCCCCGGGCCCCTCGGCCTCCCTGGTTGAGAGACTCAGCAGAGCGATTGGCAGGGGCCCCATCTCCCCGGCCCATGCCGGGGGGCACTGTCCTGGCCTGGGGACCCTAGATGCAGAGCATGGGCCAGCATCTGGTGTGTCTTCGTCGTTTTGATTGGAGTGGGGGCTGCCGACTCCCCTGAAGGGGAGCCTGCTCTCCAAACCCCATCCGTTCGTGTATTTTTACCCGCTTCAGAGGCCAGGTGGGCCAGGGCCCCTAAACTGACTCAGCAGCGGCTAAGGCTGCCTGGAAGGCTGGGGTGTGGAGCCTCCACGCCCTGCCCAGCCCCCAGCACTAGTGGCGCCCCCTGCCCCGCGTCCTAGAGTGGAGGAGAGTGAGGTGCAGGGGGGTCCTGTGGTCCCTGTCCTGGCTCCAAGGGTGTCCCATGTAACCTGGGCACAGGGCTCAAGCCCAGGAACCTGACACGCCCTCGACTGTGCTTCCCGCACACCACTGTCCCCACCTCGGATCTGGCCCAGGCTTGGCACTGGCCAGCCACGTGCCAGCAGAGCGGTGCCCATGGGTCTCTGCACTTTGGATGGTGGGAACGGGCCTGGCAGGTGCAGCGGCCCTTCCTGGGAGGTAGCCACAAGCGCCGTCCTCTGCCTTGCAAGCTGGTCTGCGGAGGAGCTTTCGGCTGGGCTGCCGTGAGAGGCCAGGTGGCCCACAGGACGGCAAGCTGCCCATGAGCTCAGATGCCCCAGAGCTGCCCACCTATGAGGAGGTGGTCCGGTACCAGCCCCAGCCTGGCGAACGGCCCCGCCTCGCGGTTCTGATCGGTAGGAGGCCTGCTGGAGTCCCAGGGTGGTGGGTTCCTTCCCAAGCTACGGGCCTGGCAGGGACCCAGCCCCCTGTGCCCTCCAGGGTCTCTGGGCGCCCGGCTGCAGGAGCTGAAGCAGAAGGTGGTGGCCGAGAACCCACAGCACTTCGGTGTTGCTGTACCACGTGAGAGGCCTGCGCGGTGCACGTGGGTGGTGTGGGGGCCTGGACTCCCCACCTTCCTCTGAGGACTGCAGCTCTACAAGCCAGGGCGGGGGCCGGGCAGGGCCAGGGGGCTGTGAGGCAGTGGCTGTGCTGAGCTCCTGCGCGCCTCAGTCTCCCAGAGCAGCCATGAGAGGTCCCTCTGACGGCAGGGGTGTGGCAGGGAGGGCGCTGTGCCTGCTGCAGGATCCCGGGCAGGGGAAGTGGGAGAGCCCTGGGTGGGGGCGAGGCCGTGGGCCCCTCCGGTGATGAGACGCCCTCACCCAGCTCCTCTCCTCCCCTGAAGACACCACCAGGCCGCGGCGGGGCCACGAGAAGGAGGGCGTGGAGTACCACTTCGTCTCCAGGCAGGCCTTTGAGGCTGACCTCCAGCACCACAGGTGCCCCTGACTGGGCAGGAGGAAGGAGGGAGTACAGGGAGCCGCTTTCCCTTCGTGCTGCGGGGAAGCCCAAGAACTGCATGCTTCTCCCGGTGGCATTGCAGGTTTCTGGAGCACGGCGAGTACAATGACCACCTGTACGGGACCAGCCTGGGGGCCGTGCGTGCTGTCGTGGCCAAGAACAAAGTCTGTGTGGTGGACGTGGAGCCGGAAGTGAGTCCCGAATGGCAGGTGTATAGCCGGGGGCTGGACGTGACTGTAAGGGAATTTTAGCCCAGAGTCCTGGAGTCTGGGAACCGAAGGAGGCACCAGATGGGCACCTGTGTCCGGGACACTGCGGGGACCGCAGGAACTGTGGCCCTCTGGACAGTGACCCTGCGCCGGGTGCCACGCGCCGTGGAGCGGGACTAGTGAGGCAGAGGCGTGGGGACCCCAGGTTGCTGGGGTGCAGAGCAGCTTGAAAGGGAAAAGGCTGAGCCTCAGAGCCGTTTCCAGTGCCATCTTGGTAACCTCGGTTCCTGGCTCTGGGGAGTGTCTGGCTTTGAGCCTGCTGGGAGCCTCCCCTTTACAGGACGAGGGCTTGGATCCTCCCGCCCGCCACGTGAGCACAGGCTTTGTGCTGCAGAAGTGACCTGGCTCGGATCCCATATGTGCTGCCTGTGAAGGGGGCCTCGCGGGTGTGGGCTGCAGTTGGAGTCAGAGTTCAGTCCATACTTGAGAGGGGTTTGAGAGAGGCCTCCACACAGCCCTCCGGGAGCGGGAGCGGAGGGATTGGGCTGCAGGTGGAAACCCGCATTCTGCACTCAGGAGTCCCTGCAGTCCTTCCCGGCCCTCGCACCCGCTTCCCGGCAGCCTCAGGAGGAGGCCGTGTGACAGCAGGGCTTTGCCAGCGTGCAGATGCGGATACTGTGCGTCTGGGGGTGTGGGGTGGAGAAGCCTGGTGGGTGACCCACAGTCGGGACCCAGAGCCGAGGCTCCAGGCCCTGGCTGTCTCCGAGCCTCAAAAGTGAGGGGCAGGAAATGCACGGCCCGCCGCCACAGCAGCAGGGTCATGCTCCTGCACCGCTTTTCCCTGGAGTGTCTGGTGTGTCCTGAACTTTCCTCCTTAGGCCCTGAAACAGCTGAGGACCTCGGAGTTCAAGCCCTATGTTATATTCGTGAAGCCTGCGGTGCAGAAGAGGAGGACGCCGCCCCTGTCCCCAGACTGTGAGGACGCCTCAGGCCTGCCGGTGAGTCAGGACGGCCGTTTCCATGCTGTGGGCACTGTGGGGGCAGAGGGTGTGGGATCCCTAAGGCTTGAGGCCACCAGAGGCTCGAGGGGGGACAGCGGCCATGCCAGGCGTAGCACTCCCACCACACACATACCCCTCACGGGAGCCTGGGCCCCCAGCAAGAAGCTGACATTTGTAGAAACCGGATTTTTTTCTTGCTTTTGTTTTGTTTTTTACTGGAGATTAAACCCAGGGCCTTTGCACTGAGCTCCATGCCCAACCCTTTTTCATTTTTTATTTTGAGATGGGGTCTCCCTAAGTCGCTAAGTTGCTCAGCCTGGGCTTGAGCCTCCTACAGTGCTGGGATGACCGGCATGTGCCTCCGGAGCCCTGGTCTGAGCAGGACACACCCAAATGGTTTTTAATTACAACACCGACTACCAAGGCCGTGGTCACTGCTTTCGGGCGAGTCTGAGCTGTCTGCAAATTACACCGCGTGTGTGAGCCAAGGGCACAGCTCCCAAGGCAGTCTCGGGTCCTGAACTCTCCCTCCAGTCAGGTCTGTGTCATGGCTACTGGAAGTCCCTGAAACCTTACTGGAAACCTCTGCAGGAGGCGCCAGTCTCCTGTTCAGCGTACGATGCAGGCCTGAGGAAAAAACTAAAAGACAGAACTGAGAGAGAAAGAGGGGTCAAGACGACCAATGCTGGTGCAGCCGACCAAGGCGCCTGCCGGTCCAGGCCCTGACTTTTATTAGCAGTCAGTTGGGGCACAGGCGAGCTAGGTGCAAGGGCAGGACTATGTGTGAGGATGCAGTCTTGCAGTTTCTATGGAAATTAATGTAAACATGGCTTATAAAGGTCCAGACAAAGCATTCTCAGATTAGGAACAGAATAGACAAACTATATGGTTGTAATTGGAACACTGTCCTTCTAGTTGCAGTTTTAGTTGTGGGAAGGGAATTTGGGTGCGAGTGGCTCTGACCTTGGCACACAGCTTCATCAGGACTCACGTCTCTGTACAGCCAATTGGGGTGAGCTCCTCACAGCCTGCTTTGGTTCCCTGCAGTGCCCCACTGAAGCACTTTGGCAGAGGTCTTCCCAGAGCCATGGGAGAGGGACACGGCTGTGGCACCAGCAGCCCAGCACCACAGCGGGCTCTGCTTGCTGCCCTGGACATCCAGGGGTCCCTCTAACATCTGTTGAAAAGACTGATGGTCTTGGTGTCTGCGCCAAAATCAGTGGAGCTAGAAGGACTTATTTCTGGGCTCTCCGCTGTTCTCACTGATTTGTTCTCATGCTCACACCGTGCCATCCTGCTCCTGTGGCTCTGTAGGAGATTCTGAGGTGAGGAGGTGAGATCTTCCACACTCTCCTTCTTTTCAGATCATCTTCAAGATCATCTTGGCTCTTCTGGGTCCCTGGCATTTTCATGTGAATTTTAGGACCAACTTGGCAAATTTGTTTTACTGTTCTTGTTGTTTTTTTAAACAACTATTTTAGGTTTAGTGGAATTTAATAATCAAGAGTAAAAAGCTTACTTTTAAAAAGAGTTAAGAATATATAGCCAACAGGGCCGGGGATTTAGCTCAGTGGTGCCACTGCCTGCTTTGCAGGTACAAGGTCCCAAGTTCGGTCCCCGGTACAAAAAAAAAGAATATAGAGCCAACAATGAGGGGGAAACAAATAATATATAGCCAAGTTGGGCGTGGTGGCACACACCCTGTGATCCCAGCACTCAGGAGGTAGAGGCAGGCAGAAGGCTTACTATGAGTTTGAGGCCAGGCTGGACTACATAGCCAGAACCTGACTCAAAAAAAAAAAAAAAACCAGAACAACAAAAAAGCCAATATAAAAGCAGATGAGCCAGGTGTGGTGGCACACACCTGTAATCCTAGCACTCGGGCAGCTGAGATGGATCGTTGTGAGTTCGAGACCAGTCTGGGCTACACAGTGAGTTCCAGGGCAGTCTCAACTACATAGTGAGACCCTGTCTCAGAAAAAAGAAAACAAAAAAAACAAAAGCATTTGAGACCCTGTCCCAGGATGCCAAGATGTCAGCTCCCACAGGAAGCCGACGCCCTGTAACACCAACTTCAATGTAACTGGTGTCCCAGGCCTGGCCGCTGTGCCACCTGATCTCCTCCTAAGCCCTCAGCAGCCTGCAGTGTCCTTGAATGCACCTAGCCAATGGCTTCAGTTGTCTGGGGTCAAGTGTTGGCGTTGTGGTGCACATCTGTATCTCAGGAGGCTGAGGCAGGATGATTACAAGCTCGAGCAGCCCAGGAAACTGAAACGCTGTCCCAGAGTAAAAAGGGACTGGGTTTGTGTCCCAGTGAAAGGCTGTGCCTTCAGTCCCTGGTACTGTGTGTGTGCACACACAAGTGTGCAAACGAGCACCCCAGCTGCTCCCGTGTCCCCGCAGGACGAGGAGCAGCAGGACGTGGCTGCCTCTGCCGCCTATGTGGAACAGGAGTACGGGCACCTGGTGGACGCTGTGCTGGTGCGGGAGGACCTACAGGGTGCCTGCCTGCAGCTCCGGGCACTGCTGGAGAGGCTGGGCACGGATGCCCAGTGGGTGCCCGCCGGCTGGGTCAGGTGACTCCGAGCTGGCACCCAGGACCTAGAGGGCAGCCTGCCTCCGTTTACCACCAGGGCCGTGGCCAGAAAGCAGCAGAGCCCTGCGGACTCCCTCGGGAAGGGGCAGGGTTTGTGGAGGGGCGTGTCACAGGCCCACTCACTCATTAAAGCCCCAGCAGCTGCCAAGTCGGCAGGAAGCCTGTGTGGGCCTTGGGCTCCATCGGCACCAGTGCCGCCTGCACCTGCCGCTGCCTCACTCTGCTCTGAACAGACACGCATTACCCAGTTACCCAGCCCTTGGCTTCCAGCACCAAAACACTCACTTAACTTGTTGTCACACTGCTGCCTGGTCCCGGGAGAGCTGGTCTGGTGCCATTTTCCACAACGAGCACCACAAACATTGTGTGGAAGACAGAGGCCCCGGAGCTGTGAATCGCCAGCCTCTTCTCTCCCCAGGGACCGGGGCTGCTGTCCCTGCCCCCATCTGAGGCCTCACCCTATCCGCCGTGCCCAGTCCTGTCGTCAACCCATCGTGGGTCCCTCCTGTCCACGAGCTGCGATGCTGGGGCTCCTGGTGCTGGGTGACTCCCAGGGAGCCGTGCTGAGCCCCTCTGTGCCCCAGCCTGGAGCACACAGTGACAGCACACGGGCTGAGATGCAGCTGCCTCTGCCACCCTGTGCATGCCTGTCCTGTCCAGCGCAGCGCCTCTGCCCCAACCCTCACAGATGCAGTGGGCCAGGAGTCTCCTGTCCCCGCGCAGTCGAGATGGGAGGCTGAGGAGACATAAATGATGCGCTGAGCTCATGCTGCATGGATTTGAGCCTGAATCTCCCAGACCCGGGGCCATCCTTCCTGCCCACTGTCTAGTACCCGCAGTCTCTGTGCACCCCGACTGGCCTTGACCTAGTGGCGATCCTCCTGCCTCAGCCTCTTGAGTGCTGGGATGACAGGCGTGCATCGTCACACCCGGCTCAACACTCATTCCTGTTGGTCCCATAATTGAAGCCCCCCATGAAATCACTGGCATGCAAGTCACTGTCGTGGCAACAGTGCCACAGTATACAGTGCCGCACAGAGGGCCAGGTCCCAAGCCAGGCGTCTCCCCCACCTTCCTGCTAGCTGCTCTTGGGATGGTGGATGGCTTGCTCGACCTGAGGTCCTGGAGGGCGACTGGAGGACCGGCAGGGCGTGGGGCCCGAGCTCCCCCCGGTGACGGCCAGTGACGCCCCAGGGCCTCACGGTTGTGATGGTGCCATGAGAGGTGCTGCCTGGCATTTCGTGGGCTGCACACTTCCCACGTGGGTGCCACTTGGCTGGGTGTGAAGAGGCGCAGGTTGTGTCCTGGGGCAGCTGCCCTCTGCCTGCCGCTGGGTCAGGGAGGGAGGGACAGAGGTCACCAGGGAGGTTCAGTTTTGCTGTTAGAAAGCAGAAAATTCCAATGCTTGTGACTCTACGCTGGCAGATTGTGCCCAGCTGCACGTGTGTGTGAAACCAGGTCTGTGCATGAGCTGGCGACCGCTCTGAGATGGGCGCCACTGCCCTTGCGCCTCTGCCGCAACCCAGGACACCGCAGCCCAGGGTTTCTGCACCCACCTCCCTGGGGCACGGCCTGGCCGCAGCCGCGCCCTCACTGCCAGCTGTGTGGCGGGCGTGCTCAGCGAGCTTCGACTGCCGTTCCTCACAGAGCTAGGGCTGCTCACTGTGCTTGGGAAATGTGAATGTTCCGACGTTCAGACATTTATTAAGACATCGCCCGATCTCCGTGCACATGCCCTTCCTCGCCTCTGACACACGCGCCCCGTCGTTCCGGCCCTGGCAGTGGCGGCTCCGGAGTCCTCTTTCCCAGGGGTCTTCAGTTGCATCCTCATGGCTGCCTCCCTGTCCTGAATTGACTCAAAAGGACTCCCTCTCCCAGTCATCTTGACGTGGAGGAAGAGCCAGGCGTGCACGGCGCCAGGCCCAGCGAACAAGGTGACGAGGACACAGAGTCGTCTTTCTGAGCCCGCCTGTCCTTTGAATGGCAGCAGTCGCTGTATTTTTTATCACGTCTCATAAAGACCCCCCAGGAAAGAGAACTCCAGAGCTGCTTCAGTCAGAAAGGGATCAGAGCAATGGGGTGGGCTGTGGGGGATCTCCGAGGGGGACTTATGCAGCGTGTCTTCTACTGTAATCATCTTGTAAAACTCTAACCATCCTGCCAGTGTGGTGGCGCACACCTGTACTAGCACTCGGGAGGCCGAGGCAGGAGAATCACTGCGAGTTCAAGGTCAGCCCGGGCTGTATCGCAAGACCGTGTCCAAAAACCAAATGCAGGCGTCCACCCTGCAGTTTGCTCACCCTGGTGCTTCAGTTGTGCGTCTGCTTATTTAGTGTCACGGAGTCTGCGCTGCCAGTCTGTGTCCTGTACCCCAGCGACAGCATCCCAGACGCAGTCACCAGCTGCAGACATTGGTGGACACGGAAAGTCTGTTTGTTAAATGATCTGGTCCACTTGTGTTTTCCTTCCTCCCCTCCCAATGTGCTCCTGGCCCTTGCTAAGTCAGCCTTTGGTTTCAGAGCACCGTGGTGTCAGCCGCTCTTTCCTCCTCCCTAAGCACAAGTAAGTGCTGGAGATTATGTGGCAGAGCCGGAGGGTGGGCTCGGGCAGCCGGTGGCAGCAAGGACCTCCAACTCAGAAGGGGCAAGTCCCTGCGTGGCCTGTCCACCCCAACCCGGCCAGACAGACCACCGAGCACAGCAGAAAAGGCAACAAACCAGGCAGGGGTCGTGCCCTCTGGCCCAGGGGCGAACCCCTCCTCCCCCGGGTGGCACAGAGGCTCTTTCTGGCCCATGAGAGACAGCAGCAAGGGCCGGGCAGCAGCAACTGCCACAGCTCTTGGGCCCAGCAGCTCAGTACAGCACTGTGCAGGGCGGATCTCAGAGACCCAGCATCCACAACAGGACAGGAGAGTGCTGCCCGTACCTGAGAGCAGAGGCCCACAGGCCAAGGGAGGCCTTGGCCGGCAGTCACCCCACTACGGTTCAGCTGTGGCTCCTGAAACATGGGAAATAAGGACAGAGACACAAAATAGGGGACATGAACAAGACCCAAATGGAAATTATGGAAAGACAGTAAGCAAAGTTTAAAAAGTGGATGAACTCAGCAGTGTGCCTTGAGGAGCAAGTCAGTGCTGCAAGATGGTGACAGGTGACCGCATGGGCTGGGCCCGCGGGGTGGGGAGAGGGACCAGAAACCATGCCAAGGAGGCTTGGCTGGAAACTCCCCAAACCCAGAGAAAACATAAACCTGCAGACTGGGGCAGTCGCTCCGTCTCCAGGCGGTGCGGTCGAAGCCCAACACATTGGAATTAACTCTGGGAAGCTGAAGGTGAGGAGAAAAATCTCAGGAGCTGGGAGAACTGCCAGGGAGGCAGAGCCTCAGCCTCAGGCAGCAGCTTGAGGTGTGCGAGGCCTGGAGTGGAGGAGGAGGCAAGGACGGGGGAGAAGCAGCAAAATCGAGCAGCCAGAGCCCCCCACCGCACCCCGTCCCTGGCTGCATTTCAGGGCTGAAGCCTGTGATGTGGGTGGAAGTCACGCGTGCCTCTGTGGTGGTGACCACGCACCCTGGGGAGCCGGGCCACGGTCAGCACACAGCGGGATTCTTGGCGCGTCTCCTCCCCTCCCTCTCCCCACCTGCACCCCCTTCCCATTTACAGCAGCTCCGTCTCCCTACTTTCTGTTTTCTGTCATATTTTGCTCTTTATTTTTACCCTGGGTTTCTCACATAAGGAAAAACCATGCTACATTGAAGCTTGTGTGTCTGGTTTATTTAACTTACCGTGATCTCAGAACGCACCCATTTTCCTACAGACGACTCCTGCCCCTCTTCACGGCACAGCAGTACTCCACGTGTCAGTGCCAGTTCCTGGCCAGTTCACCTGTCGATAGACGTGTAGTTGCCTCCAGGTTTTACCACGGGTGTGGGTGTACACACATCTGCGATAGGACGTCTTTCACACATTTGGTAAGATTCCCAGAAGGAGAACAGCTGGGTCCGATGGGATTTTAAATTTTCCCTGGAATTTCCAGAGAGATGGGCAGTTCTTTTTTTTTTTTTTTTTTTTTTTTTTGGGGGGGGG